GTTTATGAGGCAGGGCGGGGAGGGGGTGGGCGGAAGGGGCGAGAGTCAACCTCGGCGCTTCCATATACAGATCCCTCGTTCGGCGCTGGCGGGCGCTCCCTGAGCCTCTGCTGTTGAGTTGAAAGCGCGCGCTGAGCCGAGGTCGTAAAATGAACGCCATCAGAAATACATCTTATGCGGCAGCCTCGCGGCCTCGCTTGCAGCCTTCTTCGCGCATTGCATCCCCTCATCTCGACTCCCCACCGCCAGATGGCCCATCCGTCGTCTTCGCTCTGTCAGTCGACCCACGACCCCTTTCTGGCTTGCTTGAGGCTTGAGTGTGAATGATCTTTCTTCCAATTCTGCGGCAGAGCTTTGCAATTCCTATCTCTAAAATTCTATATTTATTTACCTTTTTATAATCGTTGATTGATGTCTTCTTATTGAAGTCACACAAAATTGTATCTCTGTACAGAAGTGCACTTCTTATTGAATCCATAAAAATATGTATTTCTACTTTGATGATTCAATACCTTTTTCATGTTAGTTCGTAGACCAATCATAATTTAGCTAATTTTTTTGAAAAAATTTAAGTTATACATTTTTTCATTTATTTTTTAATACGTTAATGTTCAGTAATTTTTTATAGCTTTCTTTTACTACAATATACTTCTAGTTTGATTTTCATCTCCTTACACCATTTTCAATTCTGTTTTTTTTAATAATACTTTTTCTTCCGATATCATTTTGCCCCAAACACAAATAGAAGTAGATTCTCAGCAGATCTTTCCTTTTTGATCTCATTAATATCTTCTTTGTTTAATTTTATTATTTTCATTTTGCAAAGAACATTTTCTCAGATTATTTTAATAATTTAACCCATCATTTCAATTTTATTGCTAAAATATTTTTGTGATATCATTTTCTTTACTTACATACGTCAGGCGCTGATCCACGGGGAGGAAAATAAGGAAAATTTCACTCTCCTTTAAAAAATTGCAGTAACTATTAATTTTCACTTGTCAGGAAACAATCAAGCAAAATTATTTTCGAATAATCATAAAAATGTATAAAATCGTATTTCGGGATGAGCAGAGTGTGTCTTGGGAAAATTAACAAAATATGTAATAGGACTCATTCGACAAAACGTTTTGGATTTCCCGTCCCAACATTCGTCTCTGCAGTCCTCCATCGTCTCTTCGAACGTGTATTCCATATTAGTGCTCCCTTGCAGTCGTCCGCCGTCGCCCCCAGATCCTGCTCCGCCAGCGCGTCCTTCCTTATTCATGCGCCGCGGGGTGGGCGGGACCAGCGCGGAGTGGGGCTCGGCGCGGTGTGCGTGCGTGTGTGTGTGTGTGTGTGTGTGTGTGTGTGTGTGTAAAGGGGGCGCGCAAATAAACGCGACGCGGGATTGCCGCTGACGAACGCGCCGCCGTCGATATCCGTTCCCTCTCACCCGCCCCCTCTTCGTTCGCCCCCGCGCCGCAGCCGCTGCCGCCCGCGCTGCCTCCGCGCCCCCGCCCCCGCCCCCTCGTCATTGGAGTCGGCGCTCGATTCCTCCCCCTCTCCCGCTCCGCGCTGCGCCCATGTCCTCGCTCCGCCCGCTTCGCTTCTGCGTGCATCCTGCTTGCAGCCTCCGAGTCGATCTGCTTTCTCTGCCTTAGTCTTCGACGCCGTTTCACTTCTGCGTTCATTCTTCTTACCCTCCCCCGTGGTTGCGTTTTATCCTGCCTTAACTCTCGGTTTTGTTTTCGATTTGCTTCTGCGTGCATCCTGCTTGCAGCTTCCGAGTGGATCTGCTTTCTCTGTCTTAGTCTTCGACGCCGCTTCACGTTCTACGTACCTTCCTACATTGTTGCGTCTTCATCGTGTCTTATCTCCTAGTTGTTTTTGGGTTTCGCTTGTGCATTCATCTTGTTTTCAGCATCGGAATGGATTTGCTTTTTCTGCCTAACTCTCTGACGTCGCTTCACATCTGCGTTCATTCTTCTTAGCCTCTCATGTGGTTAAGCCTTACCTTGCTTTATCTCCTGGTTTCTGTTCTCGTGCTGCTTCTGTGTGCATCCTGCTTGCAGCTTCTGAATGGCTATGCCTTCTCTACCTTAGTATTCGACGCCACTTCATTTCTGCGTTCGTTCCGCCTATCCACCCACGTGGTTGCGTTTACCTGCCTTAACTCCTGGTTTTTGTTCTCAAGTTCCTCCTGCATTCATCCTGCTTTCAACCCCTGTACGGTTGCGCTTTGATTTTGCCTTACTCTTCGTGTCCGCTTTGCATCTGCGTTCATCTTGCTTTCTCTTCTCTTCAATGTAAGGCTGCGCCTTTCTTCTGTCTTACTTCCTGGTTCTCGTTTTGTTTGTGCGTTCATCTTGCTTCCAACCCCCTTTATATGTGCCTTTCTTCTGTCTAGTCTTAATTCTCGCTTTGCATCTGTGTTCATTCCGATTACATCCTCACATTCCTGCGCCTTTTTCATGCCTTATCGTCTGCTCTTTGTTGTCGTTTTGTTTCTGCGTCCATTCTGCATGAACCTCTCTTCCTGTGAGACTTGACTTCATCTTGTTTTACCTTCTGATCTTCGAACACGCTTCGCTATTACGTCCATTCCGCTTACATCCTCGCAAAGCGTTACATATTTCCTGACTCAGCCTTCATCCCTGCTTTGTTTCTGGCTTCAGTCTCCTTTCGTCTCCATATGGCTGCGTCCATAATCTGTCCATAATCCTGTTGTGCTTCTGAATTGATCTTGCTTACTTCCCCGCATGGCTGAGTATTTCTACCGCCTTAGCCTACCCCGCAGCTTTCTTTATCCTTTCATCCGTGTAAGGCCCCCGTCTCTCTCGTTTCTGTCTTCGTCATCATTTCCTTGTTGACCTGCCCGCTTTTCGCAGAATTCTCCGCGACGCATTGTGCCCCTACGTGATCGCTTCCATTTTGTTTTTTGCGTCGCTTTTATTTCCAATTCTGTTTCATTCGTGGCGAGGAATTTGGCTTCCACTTTTATTTTGAGCTGCCATATTCATTCCCACACCCGTTCGATTCCTTCCTAGCTCTCATCGTCACCCCTCAAACAAACCCACTGGCTTGTGTCGACTCCTCATACCAGCGTTTTTGTTTTGTGTTACTTTTGCCACATTCAACTCGACTTCTCAGCCTTCTGTAATTTCGATCGACTGCATTAGGTAGCTGTGAGTATCAATTGATGTCACTGCAGTGTCTCTGGGATGTTCTAGGTTCATGTCCCGACGGTGGCAGGATTTTCGACACCAGCTACATACCTTCGTTGAATTGTCACTGTCTGGATGAGAATTCTAAAGGTCAGCTGCTCTGATCGAGAGTTTTCTGTGGTTAGCCCAGTTCTCTTCATTCTTCTGTTGACTATATTTCTCCCTTTCGCTCTGCCTTTATCACCACCTTCCTCGTTGTTTCTATGTCGACCTTCGCGCTTCGGTATAATTACTATCCCGGTGATGTGCGACGCGGTAGGACAAATTCGCTAATTCTCGTCTCCTCCCCCTGACCCCAAATCGCACTTCGGGTCCACCATCGCGTCCACCGCTCGTCTTTGGGACACATCTCCATTGCGGTCAACTTTCACTAAGGCCTTTTACAATTTTCTCAAATAGGTATAATTGCCCAGGTATAATTGCTTCCAAAATTGTCCTTCGCTTTCATATTTGAAGAACATAAAAGAGAAGAACAAGAGATGCTTTTAACGTTCTTTATTTTGTATTAATTCTGTATTGTATTGATCAGATAAAGTGAAGAAAGGGTATTTTGAAGCGAAAGTATTGAAAATCCTTAATTTTTGAATATTTAATTAATGGTGGCGGTCCTGCTGCAAGGAGGACGGAAAAGGAGGTACTTGGTCTTTCATTAAAATATGCAGAATTAAAGTAATTATATTTTAGGTAGATGACATACACATTTCTAAAGATTCTGTCATATCCCCATGTGTTCTATATTTTCTCTCATCGGGGTGCGATATCATCTTCTTGCATGACTCATGAATGAAAAATTAGCTAAAATTGTTTTCTCTTTCTCCGTCACAAAACACCAGCCGGGACGCAAAAGATCTATGCCTTCCCAGGTCGCCCAAAGGGAAAGGGGATTATCTGGGAAGTGGGTGTAAAGGAAGCCTGACTTCGGGATGCAGTCGGGCGATTCACCGTCTCTTCTCTTCCTTTTGCCCCTTCCGTGTCTCGTTCGCCGACTCAGAGTCGCCTGCTGAGCTCCAGCAGAAGATATTCACAGCCACCCGGCGTCATATGAGTACTCTTCGTTCCAACTTTTGCCGCTGCGTACACTGAAGTTTTTATTTGGACCTCATGAGAATTGCGGAGCATTTTTCCTGCCATCTGCTTCTCCACACTTTCAATGAGGCTCTACTTTGCTCTTCTGAATTCAGCGAAAAGTCAATTTAATGGATTTATGATGAAAATGTAATGGCATAACACTCAACTTGGAACCACGATATTTGAATGAAATGTAAACTTTTCGTCTATTCACTAAAGAGGAAGATTCCTGTTTCTGGTCTTTGTACAATTTTGCTTTTCTTGACATATTGATAATTATTCTTAGCATGGGTGTGTATTAGTTTTATACGGTGTCTCGGATTAAATGTTTTGTGAGATACCTAACAATCAGGTGTAAAAGTAATGATTATGAAACGAGGAATCTCATGTTCGTAAGGAAAGAGGGATCATATTCAATGCCCAAGAAATTTGTGAGATTTATTCCGAGGCAGCAGTACACAGTGAATACATTTACTGATGTGGCCGTGAGATATTTACTTCTATCATTGGAAGTCTTCTGATAACTTACTTCGTTTGTAAATTTATTAGGTATTTATTAGGTATTTGCTTGAACTATAGGACATTATTGTGCTATCAATATTGTGTTTGTAAAATATATTGAATTCACAAGTCAGATAAAGATACCTAATAATATCAATGATAATATGCATAACGTATAATGTTGTCTGGTCTGTAACGCCACACTAAGATATTCTTACGTTCCAGACGTTTTCATCCGCAAACCATTTCCGGAGCATCGGCTATTTTCCGTTACTCTCCCTTTCATTTTCCTGCTTTCAAGTTTTAACCAGACGTCGATCGGGTCGTTGACCCGCGGATGGCAGATGGTGAAGACGTGCCTATTTCCTCTAGCAGACGCCTCCACCCCCCCCCCCATCACCCTTGCTCGTCGTGCCGTCCGTTTCGCTTCCGTTGCCTTCCGCCGCCCACACCTACGTCTCTACCCCTCCTCCTCCTGCTTTCTCCGCATCGTAGCCCCCGCCGTTTCCGCAGTTGCCGCCTCATCGCGGCTATTACCGCCGCCAGCACGGCCGCCTTCGCCGTTTCCGTCGCCGTTTGCGCGTCCGCTTCCGCAGAAGAGCCGTGGATCCGAAGCCGTGGATCCGAAGCCGTGGATCCGAAGCCGTGGATCCGAAGCCGTGGATCCGAAGCCGCGTACTCGACGCCTCGATCTGCTCCGCCCGCCCTCCAAGCGCCTTGGACTGGGCTTGGGCGATTCTACGAAACTCGACGCACTCCCTTTTCCAGTGATTGATGATCACATAGTCTTGGATTTTATATGCAATACGGTTTAGAGAAATAAACACACTGCCAGCAATTCAGTTTGTTAGCTCGCATACATTAAGGAATGTTTGTAAATTATGAGCGTTGCAGAGTCATTAGCAATGAGCGGTGAAAGTGTGTGTATAGCACGCACGTAAAATCTTGTTCCAAAGCGCCGACCACCGGTTGGCGTAGTATTTAAAGTGCGAAGTCAGTCAATCCGAGATTGCTCCTCTTGTTGTTTGCATGCAAATAGACTATCACGAATAGACCGGAATTTACTGTTCTGCAGAGGTGTACCCAGGATTTTTCTAGGGCGGGGGGGGGGGAGAAATGCTACAGGTAATAATGTCCAGCCGACATGTTTTCTTATAAATGGTTTTTGCTTGATGATGAACATACAATGTATTTTAATTGGTTGACGTAGACATACTATTTATAATGTGAACAATTTATATAATGAATAACTTTCGTTTGAATAGTTAATCAGTAAAAGCTCATTTTTGTTTTGAACATGTACCATTGACTTTTGAGGAAACTAAAGCTCCATGAGTCAATCCTTTTTTCCAGTGCGTCATTGCCGTTCTGATTGCACTTCAGTGGAGTGTACCAAAGTGCGCGATATATATTTACTGAAATCTAAGACCTCTTTTTAGGTATAGAAAATAAGTAGTAGTAAAAATAGTAATATAAACAAAAAATAGTATAAATAGCAATATAAATTGGTATACAAGTAATGATTGTCGGTAAAATAAAAATACAATAAAATAATTTCTTTTATATGAAATAAACCCAATGCATTATGACTATTTTCCTGAATAGCTTCTTGAACTGTAAGCAATTAATTTGTGAAATTTTCCTAATAGGATTAATATTTGAGAACTTGTATGTATGTATGTATGTATGTATGTATGTATGTATGTATGTATGTATGTATGTATGTATGTATGTTATGTATGTATGGTATGTAGTATGTATGGTATGTATGTATGTATGGTTGGTATGTATGTATGGTTGGTATGTATGTATGGTTGGTATGTATGTATGGTTGGTATGTATGTAATACATGTATGTATGTACTTGGCGTGACTGCCCATGATCCCTATCAATGATTGCTACTTATTAAGAAATGTTTCTTGGTTCCCGTTTATTTTATGTCATGATTACCTGCTTTATTTTTTGTGTATAAAAGACATGTGTCATTTTTGTGACGAGGAGTCAAATGATGTGCACATTGATGGGGTTGTCTGGCTTTCGTTTTGAGGATTATTTTTGTATTTCAATATTTGTACTGTTCAAGTACATCAGTATTGTTGGAAAATCTATGCGTTTAGAGTGATTATCTTCTTAAGAATTATGAGAACACAACGTAAAAGGAAATGTTGATAGGCCAAAGCAAAATAAGATATGTAAAGAGTTGAAGTCAAGAGAAGTGAGTGGCACTTTCCATAATTTTGTCTCGTCTATTTTGTATCATGATATCCAAGGAATTTTTATAGGTAGGTGAGAATGCAGAGCAGTTCCAGTTTTGAGTTGTCTATATAGATACTCTGTACTGATAAAAAACAGTGATCGTGACTGTCAACTGAAATATAGTCGCTAGTATCAGACAACTGGTTTTTGTTAAGATGCGAGGGTTTGAGCGCGGACGGTGCAAGTGCTGGGGCAAGGGTAAGGGCACTGAGGGTGAGTTGATTCGAGGGTTGAAAGAGCGTGGGCTTGGGCGTGGGGAGAGCGTGGGCTTGGGTGTAGACGGTGCGCGAGGTGCGTGGGTGTGAGCGCGGACGGCATGCACAAGGCAGACGGCGTGTGGGCACTGGGAGTTTGTGGGGTTGGACGTAGAGGATGTGTGGGCACGGGAATAGAGGGGAGTAGCGTTGGAACTGGGAGTGAGTGGGGTTGGGCGTTGAGCGTGTGAGGCAATGAAGGTAGACGGCACCTGGTCGTGGTCACGGGGAGCCCATGGAGTTGGACGTAGACGATGTGAGAGCATGGGAATAGACGGCGCGGGGACGTGGGAACTGGGAGTTTGTGGAGTTGGACGCAGAGGATGTGAGGGCACTGAAATAGAGGGGCGTGGACTTGGAACGGGGAGTGCGTGGGGTTGAGCGTGGAGAGTATGAGGGCATGGAGGTAGACGGTACCTGGTCACGGGGAGACCTTGGGGTTGGACGTGACGTCATGGAATACACGGCGCGTGGACTCCAGCCTGGGGAGTGCGTGGACTTGGGGGTAGAGGCTGTGAGGGCACGGGAATAGAACGGGGCACTAGAGGACGGCGAGGCTGTGAGGGAATGGATATATGCGGCGTGTGGACGTGGGAACGGGGAATGCTGGGGCGTTAGACGTAGAGCATAGGCCGTAGACTGAGGGTGGACTTCGGCGTGAACAGTGCGTGAACTTGGGCATGGGAAGTGCGTGGTCTTGGCGCGGGATGCGTGAGGTTGGGCGCGGAGGGGCCTCTTGAGGCAGCGGGCGAGTGTACGTTCGTGCGTGTGAAAAGCGTGGGCGGCGCGCCCGTCCCTGTCGGGGTGTGTGGGGGTTGGGGCGGGGCTGTTGCATATATGGAGGCGGCTGCCCTCGCCGCCCGTTCCGCACGGCCGCGCGGCCGCCGGCGCGGAGAACGCCCGGGGCGTGATCGGATGCGGGAAGCCGGGGGAGATTGTAAAGGAAGGCGCGCCGAGGCCCGGGTGGGGAGAGCTGTGGACAGCTCGGTGATGAGAACGTTAGTGGCGCGATAGGGTGTGGACTCGGCGGAAGGATAAGGAAGACTGCTCTGGTATTGTGGTCAACGGGAGGCTCCCCAGAATGGTGGTTGTGTTTTGTGAGGATGGCACTGGGGCATGTGATGTGGTGGATAAGGAAAAGTCTGATATATCTGGAATTGTTGGTCTAAGAGATTCCAAGCAGGAAAGACGTGATAGGATAGTGGGAGGTATTCTTTAGAAAAAGGGAACGAGAAAAACTGAGGATAGTCAGAACAACAAACGAGAGTGCTAGGTGATAAGAGAGGAATTTGAAAGGTACAAAAGCGGGTATATGTGGCAGGGGACTGGGAGATGTGGCAGGGGACTGGGAGATGTGGCAGGGGACTGGGAGATGTGGTATAGGACTGGGAGATGTGGTATAGGACTGGGAGATGTGGTATAGGACTGGGAGATGTGGCAGGGGATGGGGAAATGTGGCAGGGGACTAAGAGATGCGATAGGGGCCAGAAAGATGTGTCAGAGAACTAGGAGACCTATCATGGGAAGGCAGGATGTGACAAGCGACGGGAAGATGAGAGGAGGGTGTGACGTTAAGGAAGGGCAGTGCGACCGAGACGTAGAGTTGCGAAACAGAAGTGTGAAGCGACTGGAAAGCGAGCCGCGCTGGGCAGGGCGACAAAGGCACCGAAACCCATCTTCAGACGCGTGTTACCCGCTTGCGGCACGTAACGGAAGAGCAGCGCTGCGCCTGCGGACCGCGTTTGTGTGCGGGCTTTACAAGCCCCATGAATAAGGGGCTCGGGGGGGCGGGCGCGGACAGGCGCGGGCCGTTTGGCTGGCCTCCGCGCTCGCTGCCCCTCGCGGCCGGGGATTTCTGCCTCTGCGAAGCGGCACACGCGCCTCCGATCCATCGCGGCGCGGGAGCGCGCCCGCCAGCGCGGGGGCGTCGGGGACGGGACGGGAGGCAGCAACACGACGCACGCGGCGGTGCGTTTTGAAAGAATAATTGCGTAATTTATCACTCGCAATCCAGGAAATTATGGGCACCTGCGTGTATTCCAATAGCCGTCATTTATAATTTTTAGTCTCGCGCCCGGAGGGGGAAAAAAGCGAGCCAGCGCGGCTTATCAAAATCACGATGTGACGGAGGGGTGGGCGTGACGGGGTGGGCGTGGGGGATGGACGTGATGTCAAAGGGAGAGGAATGGCAGTGCGATGTGTGGTGGAGGTGCTCGGTTCTCCGCGTCGGTTCGGTCGGCACAGGTGACGTGGCGACAATGGATGTCAAAACAGTGAATGAATTAGAGTTTGTGATATTGGAGAGAAAAGAAATAAGAATTATTGTGAGGTAGCCGTACTGGGGCGTTTTGCAGCAAAGATGGGCTGAATTGTCTGTAGAAAAAAGAAACGAAAATGATTGGAGCTTTTAAGAGGGAGCAACAGAGGCGGAGATACTAGGAGAGAGAGGGGAGACGGGGACAGTTTAGAATGCAAGTGAAGACGGCTCGTGTATAGAAGGATTTTCCGTGTTAGATCGAGTGGAAATGGAAAAGCGTGGCGAAGGGGGAAAAGACGAGAAATGTTTAGGAGAATTTGTGCCGGAAGAGAAAGGGGGAGTTGGAAATACTGAACCGATCAACAAGGAGCGCAATATACAACAAAATCGACAGTAGGCCTCGAGTTGGAGGAAGCGCTACAGTCCGCGAGCGTGAGTGGTGCGAGGGGCGTGACAGTGGGACCGAACCCAGGTCTTGGAAGACAAAAGTTGATTGACGATTCCCGACACGTCAATTGCTGTGTTATTAGTCCTGATAGTGTAGTGAATGCTTTATCTTGAGAGGTGGCCATCTTTCTCCTCCCACTGGGTTATGAGCACCGGCGCTGACCTCCACGTCGGTTGGCTGAGGAATTGCCCTTCTGGATATCTCCTCCAGCGGGAAGCCGCACCAGTCCAGACAAGCTCTAAGCTCCCGACTGACCTATCGACATGTGTGGGGGAGTATAGTGTGTATACGTGTGGGTGTGTTAGGGGGAAAGAATAGGACGACGAA